AAGTGGTGCGTTTTTGTGTATTAAGTATCTGCGCATGTGAACTATTATTGGAAACTGTGAAACAAGTGCTCTGATAGTGATGTGATTCTCAAAATAAAGTGCCTGTCTGCTTAGGCGCCTTGAGATACCATCGCCAACCGTCAGCTGTCTGCTGGCTCAAGTTACCGTCAGAATCTCCCAAGGGCTGCACAATGTGACGCATCAACATATTGTGAAGCAGTATACTATGAAGAATAATTATTATAATATAATATTGTTACTTTAGTCTCAGAAGGGCTTGATCCCAGAGCCGTAAAGCCAGTTAGCAAGAAGAAGCGTAGATAGAGGATTATGTCTATGCACTCGACAGTCGATCGATGATCGATCTTTGATTTTTGTCATTCTTACTTCCTAGTGTCATTGGAGTGTTTTGGAGTAATATAAATTATTTACAATTATAAGTTTACGTATTGTCTAATTACATATATTAAGATTTTCAAATAAAACCTTAAAGTAAAATAAAGAAAACTCATTAAGCAATCATGGGAGGAGGGGACTTGGTATTTTATTTGTTATTGTTTTTTTATTTTATATTTATATCATCAATGTTTGAACATTGGATTTAATTTTCTTGATAGAATTCTAAAAAAGCTTGGCACCCAAGTACATTAAAAAATCAAGAACGAGTATGGAAGGCAGAGCAAGCAGCAGCCGAAGAGAACAAACGCATTCTTGAATTGCAACGCGAACGTGCGGAGGAAAGGGATCGGGAAGAGCTAAATAAAATAGCTAAACGCACTTCAGGTAGTGCCAATTCATCTAATGAGAATCGTCTACATTGGATGTATGATGTATGTATATATATTGTTATTAGCAAGATTTCTAAAGTATTTAAGTGACAAGTGAATAAATAGGTCACGCGATGGTAGGAGGATAATGTAGCCAGAGTGTACATGTAGTACATGTGCAAACAACTTAATATATAAACAGCTTTGGATTTGTGGTCACTCCTGAGAACTTAAATGAAATGCCTCGTACCACTCTTTATTTTTTATTTACTGTCTCTCCTTGAATGGTATGGAACATAACAGTAGATGCACTACTGTATTTCAGCAGAGATAGCTATGAAGGAATGTAGGTCCTACTTATACCTTCCCTGATAGACTCCTAAGTTATTTAAATGCCAACTTATTTAAAGGAATAATATTTCATTGCAAAAAGTACCCACAGTGCTTGTTTGGTAATATAGTGCAGTTACTTTTATCTCTTACTAGCTGTTCCCCGCGGTTTCACCCGCGTCATCACATGTCCGAGGTGCGGTGACATGACATCTAGTTCAAATATTTTATAATTGCAATTAAATATTTTACTTGATAGCAATGTATGGATAAATTGGCATAATTAATGGAGTACTTTTATCTGTCGGCATATGTATGATGTAGATAGAAGTTAAGTTTTATCCACTTTCCCTCCCCCTCCCGGTTGAGCGCTTCCCCTCCCGGTTGAGCGCCCCCCCTCCCGGTTGAGCGCCCCCCCTCCCGGTTGAGCCCCCACCCTCCCTCTCACATCCCAGAAAACCGTAAACGATACATGAAAAGTATGTAGGCATGAAATGATTCTTGATATATTTGCTATCAAACTCTTATACTTATTAATCAATTAAATTTTCAAAATATCATAGCAACATGAAATGAAAGAGTTCAGAAATAAAGATGTAACTAATCATTGTCATAAAAGTACTCAATTAATTTTGAATTTATTTTAGCTATAATGATTGAACTAACCTCGCTCATAGAAGCTTTCAAATTTCAATACTGGCTTCTCGCCGTTCTCACCAGGCGGCTAGGGTTTAATGCGTCGTTCGCGCGCCCAGCCAAGTATTGAATTATTTTAATTTTACATTATCTCTTAAACTATGCGTCCAAATAACATGGTATATAGAACAAAGTTTATCTTCATAAAATTGTCTTGATGACGAAGTAACTTTCATTCGTAAAGATAAATAGGCCATGCCTAATAATAACGCTTATATATCACTTTTTAATTTTCAATATTTTTTTGTCACTAAATACCTAATTATGGCTTATGTATAAGAAATAGACATATAGTGTCACGGACTTAATTTTAGACGGAGTAAAGATCTATATTTTTCTAGAACATTGTATTTACGTACCCTTAACCATAACACCAGCGTCATGCGGATAAATCATTTCGGGAGCGCTTTTTTGCTTGATTTGCTTAACAAATATCCATATTTAAGGCTAGCCGAGTGATGTAGCTTAATGCTAGATACGCTAAACTATTCCACATGAATCTGGCTATAATATACAAAAAGAATTTTTCAAATCGGACTGGTAGTTCCAGAGATTAGTGCGTTTAAACAAACAAAAAAACAAACAAACTCTTCCGCTTTATTATATTAGTATAGACTAGGTTGTCATTCCCATCTAGTTTGGGGTCGCCCTACACTTTCTTACCGGTACGAGGTTGCCACTTGAGAATCTTTCTTTACTATTATTTATCGGTTTTTTGAGCTATATGACCTGCCTATAGACACTTAAGCTGCAAGCCGCAGCAGCCACTTACCATCAGGTGGACTGTGTGCTCGTTTGTCAACCTTATCGTATAAAAAAAAATTTAATTGAGTAGGTGTATGTTTGAAAATATATAATTCATTTTACACACACTTCCGATTCTGATGTTGTATTTGTACCCACCGACAAACCAATGACAATACTACAATATCATGACTATTCTTTCTTGACTAATATAGTATTGTCACCAGGTTCATCACAGCTCATGATCCATGCATGATGTTTAAGTTTTTAAAGTCTAATATTTATTAAGAAGAAATTTATTTTCTTAATTTTTTTACATCTTGTTAAACCGTCTTAGCATTTTATCTTTTCAGAAACCTGACAAAAAAGTACAACATGAAGACTTTCTGTTGGGTAAATCTATTGATTCAAATCATGATCAAACAGACAAAGGAAATCAAGATATTATACCAGCAGTAGCTCGTAGAGTTGTTGGTTCTAGCATGATAGCTACGTCAGGAGATACACAAGTTGACTTAGCTCGTAAACTTCGAGAGGATCCATTATTGTTAATCAAGGAAAGAGAAAGAGCAGCAAGGGCTGCTCTCCTGAATAATCCTTTACAACGTCGACGACTAACAGAATTGTTAAGAAAAGAACAAGTAAGAAAATATGCTTTCTCCTTACTTTTTTTATAATTACTTTATTTCGTTCCTTGACAAATCCACTGCTTAACACGGGCTTCCCCCAAAGAACGCCACAAGGCACTGTATATGGTTTGATTTTAAATTTATTTAAAACAGTGTTTTTTATATCTTTATTTTTTATTTTTACATCACAGAAAAACCTTTCAGTTTTTAATGTGATTGAAGTAGAAACACAAAACATTCAGCTTCGGTTTTTATGTTTTTCTTCAGTTGCATTTTATAGAATAATTTGTGTTAAATATTATAAAATAATTAGAGAAAATAGCTAAAGGAATATAGTCTTAATTATTTCTTATATTTGCATAAAAGCTGCACATTGAATGGATATCTGATGATGTACATCAACTTTTTATGTGGCAGAGTCATTCTGCGGCTATGTCTGCAGAACTAATGGGTTGGCAGCATGAAATTTGCATGATATATATGATGTGATTGACGAGAACCAGCGTAATGGCTTACTTTTACTGATATTGAGGCATTTCATCTCAGTTCTCAAGTGACAATGAATCTGCATATTGATTTTTAATCTAGAGTATGTATATGTCTATGCACGACAGCAATCACTAACATCATGGTCCTTTTATTACCTTATTTTCTAATCAAATACATTTTTAAATATGTTTTAACCACTTTTAGTTTTAATTTGCCTTATAAACTATTTGTTTTACTTAAAATAACCAGACCTGCAATGGGAATCCTTCATCAGATTGTCAATCCACTTGTTAAGAATAACGATTATGGCATATTCTCCCAATAACGGAAGAGACTCATGTTCAGTTGTCGACTTTTATGAGCTAATGATGTAGAAGAAACATGTAATAAATGTTTTTTTTTAAATAAACAGTTACTGCATTTTACATTTAACATATTTTATTTATAGGAAGAATCTAAAGAAAGCAAAGAAAAAAATAAATTAAAAAGTAAAAGCAAAGACCTGGATAATATTTTAGCAGCAAAATTAAATGCATTAGGGGCGAAAAAGGGTGTAGATTTAACAGCTTTACTTGCTTCTGATGATTCTACATCAGATTCCTCGTCTGATGAAATTAAACATAAAAAGAGAAAGAAAGACAAGAAAAAGAAGAAGAAAAAGAAGAAAAACAAAAATAATGACAAAAGTAGGCCACATGTTGATTCTGAAGACTCTGAAAAGGACCCAAAAAATACTAAAAAAGAGTGCAAAAAGGTAAAAAACGACGATAAAGATAGTAAAAGAGAGTCAACACAGCATAAAAGAAAAAAAACAGTATCCGAAAATGAAAGTGATCATGCCAAGATGGATACTAAAAAACAACGAAAAGATACTACAATTAAAGGAAAAAAATATCATGACAAATACCACCATGACTCAAGTGAAGATGATCATAGAAATTCACGACGGAATGCATCATTTGATGAACGAGGTGACAAAAGATATATTAATAGAAAGGAACATACAAGTAAAACACGTGTAGGGATGAGTGAAGAGGAAAGGGCTGCTAAATTAGCGGAAATGGCGGCTGCTGGGGCAGAACGTGAGATTCAGCGTGGCCGCCGCGTAGCGGAACAGTTGGCAGAAAAAGAGGCTTCTGAAAAGAGTTCTAATGTGGGGAAACATTCCAGACGTAAGGAAGTATGTTCATTACCAGACTCCCTTGAGAGTCGGATACACTCGAACCGGCACTATATTCAGCGTGATAAACGCCATATGAATGAACATTTTGCTAGGCGATAGCAAATTCATAATTTTTAATATATCATAATTTTTTTGAAATAAAACAAATAATGTATTCATTTTCGTTCTTTATTAATTCTAAAAATACAATAAATATCTTATGTAGGCGATACTAGTATTACGAAAATGCTTAGATTAAAATCAACCCCTATTATAATTACATTAGACTGGAAATTTACAAGGCCATGTTTAATATAGAAATAGCATTTTATCCATATAAAATACAAATATTAGTCATAATTTACTGCTTGGTATTACTTCAGTTTTGCTAGGTAATTCTAATTAATTACATTTAAATGTATCATTTTCATTCCTATTGGTTTAGTCGAGGGGAATCTTCTCTCGGACAATCTGTAATGAAGTGTTTTCCAGTTACTTTTGTGCTGGGTATTATTTTTAATTTCAGGCTTTTGTGATTTTATTAAAATATTAACATTCTCTTGGCCATAGATGACTTATTTTTAGTGCCATGTCATGACGACACTATCCTTACTATCATATAAGATAATGTGGTGGTGACTTAAGAGATGCCATCACCACTTACTCCTCGCGTAAATGTCGTAAGAGTCAACTGAAGGAAATGTTAGGAACAGTGGCGTAGCGGGCCCTGTATCAAAATGAGTTTGGGGGCCCAAATGAACGGTAAACATTTTTCACAAAAGGAACAAAAACGCTCGCAATCAGAAAATCGTCGTCCATATTCGCAGATAGAATGTCTGGACTCAATGGCTAGCGTCTCAATTGAGCCTTGTTATTCCGAAGGGAAATAAACGTATATGTGTGATTTTCTTACGGAATCTAAAATTGATATTCCGAAATGATTTTTCGAAACGGAATTCCGAATGTATGTGGCGGCCTTTATTCCGAAGGGAAATAAATGTGTGTGATGTATTCACTGAATCCCGAATCTATATTCCGAAAGGGATTTTCGAAACGGAATTCCGAATGTATGTGATCGGCCTTAAACGGGGGAATGCCGCAATAACTCATGTATACTACTGACACGCGTCTTGTCTCGTCGGTCGTCGCGGATTTAGTAATCTGTGGTCGCAGCTCAATCGTGACGTGAGACGTATTGCCAAATGCCAAGTTTTGGGCGCCAGCTTAACCCGAAGTAAAAAAGAGATTTATTTTTTGACTTTTGTAATTTTTTAAGTGAAAACTTCTTTAGACACGTTGAGCACTTTTTTATGATGTTTTTTTTTTCTCGGTAAGTATGAGATAGGCGTTTAAGTGAGATTGTGGATAACATTTTACGAATTTTTACTTACACACGTTCGGGCCCCTGTAGCCCGGGGGTAGCTGTAGTTATGAGGTTAGGAAGAACTTGTAAACAGGTTTTGAAATAATCATCATATAAAATAAGTCAAAGTTTAAATTACATATGCAAATCGGTGACATGGAGTATTATGTTGTAAGAGGTCGTTACTGTGATCAATGACTATTACGAGTACAACAATAACAATCTTAGGATTTTTACAACTCTTCCTCATTATGGTTTGGCGGCCCCTATGTATTTGAGTTGTTTCACGGGCCGATGATTATAATATGTATGTGGCAGCGGAATGGTTTAATCAGCCAATTACATGAATAGAATATTTACGCCAGTTATTAAATATTAAATTACTATAGAATTTAATGTTGATCTGTGGAAGTTAACATTTGGGTTGATCTAAAGTTCAAAATCAGCCCTTTCGATACGCTGCTGCATCAAAGGCAGTCAAAACAATTTTTTCTTTTTTGTTTGCAATTCACAGTTAACATCCATTTCACAAGATGACTAACAGCAGCTGTATAATTTTCTGATTTAGATAATTCAAGTTTGTGATTTTAACAACAATTCGCCCCTTCGCGGCGTAAACGACGAATTTTTCGTTGCGTTTGGTTGCAAAAAAATCTTTACCCAAACCTGACCATCCTCGCAAACTGTAATAATTTCGTTTAATAAGATTGTCTAAGCATTATTCGGCCCTTTGTTAAACGTTAGTTAAGTTTGGCTATAAGTCTTTACAGATTTATTATAAAAATAAAGTGACAAACGAATTTACAGTACACATGATAGTACGTGGCTATTGCAGTCCATGAAACCACTTAACCAACTTAAAACAAAGAAGCCCACAGAAGCGTTGTCACCTGTAAGGACTGAGATGGAATGCTTTACAGCCTGTAATTACACTGGCTGTCTTTATCCTTCAAATCGGAACACAAAAGTGCAAGCACTGCTATTTGGCGGCAAATAGTTAGATACCCTTTTAAATATTTCTTTCTTCACTATTTCTGCCGCCGGAAATACCTACCAGTAGTTATCTATGTTTTTTTAAAAAAAAAATTATTTGCTTGTTTTCTAAGATGCCTGATTAAACCATCAACCATCTACCCGAGATGTATATATATTATATTATACATGTTTTAAAAAAGTCTAATATCATACTTAAATTCATAAAAAGCATGTCCATTTGTCCCAGAAATTTTATTGACATGCTAAAATTATAACGATTGGGGTATACCTCGGCGCACATCCCCGCGTAAATAGGGTCTGTATCCCAAGGACCGCGTTCAGGTAGTGGAAGAGCACGACGGCGCAACTCTGCAACTAGTTCAGTGACGTCCATGATGGGGATCGGATCAAGGTTGCGCGCCAACCCCGCCAGATACTCCACGTAGTGCATCCTGTAAGAACAGCGTGTATGAACACACCTCGATAAGGCCTCGCTTGTAGAGACCCTCTAGCGTGCCGTAGGGACGCGGCGGTAGACGTAAGGCTGCGCGTCGAACCAGTGTTTCAAGGTCATCCACTCCCAGGATTGGCAGCGGATCGACGTTCCGACTTCTCAGCAGCCGGCTCAAATACTCCAAATAATGGTTCCTGTAAACACATCCCAGACTCACCGCGGCACCTTCCTCTTCTCACACAATGATTTTATTGTTCTACATTTAGTAGGATTGGGCTGCTATGTGGAAATGACAACAAAAATGAAAAAAATGAAAAAAAAATATTGTGCGCTCATATCAAGTATTCATGTATTGTCTGTAATTACTTTATTATACTGATTACTTACTTGCAAAGTCCCGCGTTATTTGGTGACGATTCACTGCCACAAGCGCCATCTACGAGACCTGTTGGTGTCTCCCTTTGCAATTGTATAGGACAACGGCCTGTGCTTCCTTCAGCGGCTTCTGTTTCATAACTTATGTTATTCATCTGAAGCAGAAATATAAAAGAGATGCTGTTATTAATAACTTTCATTATATAGTCGGCTAACAAAAATAATGTGCGATTATGGTTTTAAGAATATTGCGTTAAAATCATAGTGTTCGTCAAGTTAATTAGTAATGTGAACAGTTAATAAGACGACCGCATAACCTAATGGTCAGAATACCTGGCGGCTATTTCGCTAGTACTGTGTTCAAATCTCAGCCAAAGACAACATTTGTGCAAAAACACAAATTGTTGGTTTTTGGGTCTGGTTCTTTTGTGATTGTCCCCGTATATCTGACACTTTATTCTAGGTCACTTTCGATTTTATCGCTAGGATTGCCAACCGTACTATACCTATATTATTGTACTAAGTATTGGGTTCCAATAATATATGTAATATTAGGCGATTCTACTATATTTTAATATACGCTGACTATGGCAAGAGTTCGTTAAAACTAATCTTATCTAAAATAATAACTGAAATGAACTTTAATAAAGGACCTGTAATTCATTTAAAAAAAAAAAAACTATATAATCGACCACGTTAGCTATGTACTGCCACTGTATTATCTTTAATTTGTAAATAATAAATAACTGTATTTACCTGTAGCAGAGTTTGTAGTTCATGCGGTTCTTTGTCACGTAAATAGAATAGGCAGTTACGAGGGTGGTGAGCATGGAGGCCTAGTTTAGCGCAGTATTCACTAAGTCCGCATTGGGCTCCCATCATAAAGGGTTTGCCACATCCGTAGCAGAATTCATATTTGCATTGCGTGCAGGTAAAATGCATACATCCACCTCTGGAAATATCATGTAATTTAAAATACCTATTCATGTTTGTAATGGAATGCTGCCCCTTCTGTTTAAGTGATATGAACTTAATATTTTTAGTAATTCAATTAATTTTATTTATTTATAGTGGATTTTGATTTGTTTTCAGATATTAAATAGGCGGAGCTACATTTTAAAGAAATATCGTAGGTAATTCTTCCTCATGATGCATTTGTTTTTTATATATGTTACGGCTAAGAGCCGAAGTGCACCTAGTTCTAGCCGGCTAGAACTAGGTGCGACCAGCAGTACCTAGTTGGTTAAATTTAGGTGTACTGTTAAATATGAACCAAAACCGCATACATTTATCTAATTTATAAATTATATATGATACACCTAAGTTTAACCAATAGCAATAGGCTGCACCTAGTAGTAGCTGGGTAAACCTAAGTGTACCCGCACTTGGGCTTTTAACCGTAAAATATACATATTTTCTGTTGTAAAATGCTGCATTATAAGTATTACGGACGGCGAAGGGAGCCGCCAACCCGTCAAACCCTTATACCCTGTCACAGTTGCGCCCGCACACCCCGCACACCGCTGGACATCACGTGATGCCTGCGACGCCGCGTGGGAACAGAACACCGGTGAAACCCCCTCCGCGCAAATAAAAGAAGGGCATCGGGCCGCTGGGAGTCATTTACTCTCCCCAACTCTCTACTCACTCTACGTGATCGATATCCCAAGTACACCAGACATTCATCTTGCACTATACACTGATGACACAACCCTCTTCACATCAGACAATAGGCCACTTAGAGTATGCATTCGACTCCAAGCTGCAGCAAACGCACTAGGCGATTGGTGCAGAAAATGGAGAATCGAACTTAATCCTGACAAAAGCAGAGCTATCATGTTCAACACGAGAGCTCGCCATAAAAAGACACTTGAGACTCAAGACAGAAACAATCTCCCTTTACAATATCCCAATTCCTTGGGATATTAAGGTTAATTACCTGGGGGTAATATTAGATAGTAAGATAAGCTTTTCCACTGACCTTACTTGTATATATAGAGGTCAGTGGCTTCTCTCATCACATCAAAGCGGTTAGGAATAAGGCGAAATGATATTGTAAAAACTCGCCTAAGAACCAACCTTTATTTGACAATTACCATTAGATAACTTTCAATAGATAGTAACGGACACTTCTGAATTGTGAAATCAAAATAAAAAGGACTTTTTCGATTTTAAACTTTGTACCTATTTTTTAATACTAATGTGCTGATTTTATGGACTCCTGTGATTTGGCCAATCGCACTAATATGACGTTGACAGATGAGAAGACATTAAAATAGATAGACGTCAGACGTGCGATCCTTTTCGTCTCGTTTGAAAAAATACACATCTGCAAATTTATTTATTTTTCCGTTAGCGTTACATTAAAATACTCCTGATAAACTCCCCTACAATTTTATTTATAAAATTGCATACAACTGTAATTGAAATTTTGTTTATGTTGTATTTTAACCTATGAATAACTTTTATCTGAGTATTGAAAAAGATCGCATGAGACATTAGCATGGAAAAAAGAAAATGACAATTTTCATCTATAAGTAAACAAAGGCTAAACATTTTAATTACCTCGACAAAGAATACTTAAAATGACAACGCGGACACTCCAGGCCATTCTCTCGCAAATGTTGCTGCACAGCGGCAATAGATCGCTCTGGGTCGTTGTCCTCCAACCACTCCGCGTATTTTTCACATGTTAATCCATCATGATTGGAAGACCACTGAAAATTTTAGTACAAATTGATATACCTATTTTGACGCAAATAAGCACACGTCGTACAACAGGTAATTAATCAAAGCAAAGCTTAATCGCCTCGAAAAGCAGTTACTTATTTGCAGCGCATTAAATTTGATGAGCTAAAAGTTAAATTACTTCATTTGTTTATAATAATACCTATTTGTTTTGCCGATAGTGGCGTAAGGAAATTCTTCACGTATACGTGGTAGAGCCATGCTGCAGCTATATTAGTAGTATAGTTGTAGCACGAATGGGTCGGCTCGAGCGGGGAACGACCACGCTCTCACAGAATCCTAGCGTAAAATAGCAGCTTAACGCTGCTGTGTTTCGTATGGTGAGTGTAGAGAACCGGAGACCCTTTGTACTGGAAATGAGGCATTCCATTTTAGTCCTCACGGGTGACAACGCATCTGCATATTGATTTGTAATAGAGGATAAATGTAGATGTATGTAGGCTGCAGTATCCACTTACCATCAGGTGGACTTTGTGCTCGTTTGTCACCCTTATCCTATAAAAAAAAAATCATCCCACTTTGTCCCGTGGGTCAGCTGTTGCTTTAAGAAACCATTCAAGAGATTTTATTCTAATAAAATACTTAGTCTACATATTATTACAGACCCTAAGAGTGTACTTTAAGAAAATTTCACGATACAAACCTAAATAAATACGTATAAATCGGAATTATTATAACAACAACGGCAGAACTCCCAGTTTTTGTAAACTATTTACTACTTACTAAGCACTTTACGGTGCATTCGATAATAAAATGCATTAGCTTGTCTAAAACCAATTTGACGCATTTTATCGCGTTTGATTTGATTTGTTTTCACCTTCCGGTGGAGTGCTTTGCAGCACCTGTGGTCACGGTGACACCTAATTATTTAAAGAGTTTATAGAATAGAATAGATTAAAATATTTTTTATTCAATATAGATCACTTGTATGTAATTCTTGTTGAAAGTAATTTTTTACTTTACCACTGGTTCGGAAAAAAAACCTCTGTCCTGGGAAGAACCGCAAGAAACCCAGCGGGACTTTTTTTGAAGTAAATTTTACATGAAAAGTTGTACAAACTATTTACAAAATTTATTTTAGAAACAGCTTGGAAGCGACCACCTCATTCCCAGGGGTTATTATTAACCATGTATTCATTTATATTATAATAACCCTTTTCATACAGTTTTTGTTTGATAAAATATTTAAACTTGGTAACAGAGAGACCTTGTATATTTTTTTTAGTGTATAGGGACTGTAGTACCGATATAATTCTAAAAAAGAAGAGATTAAAAAAGATACCGGTTTTCTGCATGAAGCACAGCTCACTGATTTGCACTCTGGACATCGCAGTTTCTTTTGCTTTGGATGTACAAAAAATCCCGAAGAACATTCCACACACCACTTGAAATTTGGATCTCGGGCAAGTGTTCTATCTCTTAGCTGCAATAAATAATTTTGAATTTATGTATTAAAATACTATACTGTCTATATGTATAGACTACTAGCTATATAGTCGTATAGTATATGTTTGAAGTTGTGTTAAAATACTGTTTCATGTTGCATTAAATGTATCTAATTTTAGAGTATCAAGAGATATATATATTTTTAAATATTATTATACAGTACTGCCCTACAGTATAGCCCAATGACAACAACATTTAAACTTCAAAGAAAGAACGCTATGGAAGTGTTGTTACCCTTGAGGACTTAAAAGATTGCTTCACGGGTTGTAATTATAACTTACTTCAAACCGGAACGCAACTGAGAATGCACTTTTGATTAGCAGCAGTAAAGATGAAAGAGTTACCTATCTAGACCATTGAGTTATATGTACTACGTACTAGAGAAGCCATTCCGAACATTGACTATGTTCAACTGAACTGTAGTGCAATCTATACAAACTAAATATTGCGTAAATTGCAGATTTGTGAATTCCATAAGATAATTATTATTACATTTTATTTAGAAATATGTTTGTTTAGAATAAATTAAGATATTTTATATTAAATTATTATATTTATTTTATATTAATATCTTATTTTATATTAAATTAACGTCTTCGCGCATGCGCGACTACTACTCCCGCACATGCGCGAAGACGTAGAGTAGGACACAATTTTTGTTTGGAATGGCTTCTCTAGTACGTAGACTACGTAGTACATATAACTCAATGATCTAGACAGATTCCTAGGAAAGTTAGGAAGTCAAACAGATTTTATAACGAAAACTTCTGAAAACCCCTCATAATAAAGCTATAGAAAAACGAAGAGCCGTCTAAATCATAATTATTAATTTCTAAAAAGGAATATTAAGTATTGATTTTTAATATCATAATATGTAGGTATCCTATCTATAATTGTGTTATGTTATTATGAAAATACGAAAATTATTTTCAAATGTGTTTTACATCTATACCTTTCTCTGGAACAGTTCGTGAACATCCGTATTCAGTAATGTCTTTAATAATATGTCCAAATGTGCAAAGTATTCCAACCAAGCATCTTCTGGAAGGTTCTCTAATTCAGGCTCTTTACAGTATGGACATATGCAATCCGCTATACTTCGCTCCGTTATCTGGACTGTGAAGTAATGACGCGCACATTCTCGACAACATCTGTGAGTGCAGCGCAACATTGACACCATCTGTTAAAAAGAAAACTTTCTCATTTTAAACTTCCCTTTTTAAGTATGATAACAAATAATCATTTCACTTTATAAGCCCTTAAATTGTTTATTTCTAGACATGGACCTATACCACCATCATCAACAGACTAACCAAATCCACTGCAATATGCTGCATATATAATATATTTTTCACAAATTTGCCAATTAGCACGCATTACTGGGCACATTTCCTCATATACTCACCACTTTGGTAAAACAAGTTGTAAGGAGAAGACTCGACATCTAATCTCCAAATGGTAGAGGCACTGTAATATCGTGGCAGTTCCATAATTGCCCTAAACGCGTTATTGTAGTGAATGCGCAGACATTACTTTTAGAGAGGTACATCTGCATATATTATTATACTGTTAAATAATAAGACATAATTTATCTACGTCACGTCTGCTCTAATAGTAGTTACTTTTGTGACAGGTGTGAGTAGACCATTGCCACATTAGTTTGAAAATACGGAAGATGATATTAAAAATATTTACTTTATACTTACATTTAGTCACCAAATGAAAAATTCAAAGCGAGGATAAACCGAATCGCATTACATCCTTTTTTTCCGTCCAGATTGATGTTGATATTATTAGCTACTGTACATGTTTTTAGTTGATAGGACAAAGAATAGCGTGATTTGTGTTTAAAGCTCTGCTTTGTAGACAATAACTTACCTCATATTCTGGTAGACGTGAAGCACATAATTCACAGTCTTGGTGTAAGTAAGCGAGAGCGGAATCAAGATCAGCACATTCTAGAGCTGCTAGCAGCGCTGAAGGTGCATGGATGCCTCGTGTTATTAGCTCTACCGCAAGTTGAGCTTGTTCCCAATTTTCTGTTGCGCCCTCTGCTAGAAGCATACGCGCTTGCCTCTGTCAACAATAATTGAAAGTCCATCATAAAATTTATACATAATTAAAAATTGTTCGAATGTCTATTTATGTTAAACATTACCTCTGGTGATCCGTCAGGTAGTCTGATTGTAGCTAAGTCGATGAGTTTTCCCGACACTCTGCGTACTGTAATAGGCGGCGGTGGTGATAGCGGAATCTGTTCTGGTTCATTATTTTGTTTTACCACCGTTGTTTGAGATTCTTCCGAGTCACTTTCAGTCCATTCATCCTCCGTGCGACATGTTTCGCGAAAGAACTGATTTTTCTCCTTTTGAGAAACTTCTTGTGGAGGGGATTGCTGTTTTTGCACTATTGGCGGTGGTAATGGTGCAGGTTTTTTCTTTGTGGACACTGTAGCCGAGGTTGAAGCCTTAACTTCAACATTCGGCGATACATTTTCTAAATTTTGAGGTTTATTATTATATAGTCGGGTTTGTAGTTGCTTAACATGGCCGTTTTGAACATTACCAAAGTGCGTATTAGGAGGAGGAGCTGGTGCAGGATACTGTTTTATAGACGTACGTCGAATAGGCACTTTCGACCCTAACACTTTTGAAGGAGTTTTTTCTATTTTTAGTTTATTACTTTGCAATGCTTTTACTAATTTTGGGATGTTAGATTTGTTTGAAATTCCCTTATTAAGAGGCTGATTAGCGTTAATGTGGTTTGTTGAATATGAACTAGATACGGTTTTTTTCATTTCTTCATTAACTTTACTCAAAGTATCATTTTCTGTATCTTCAGTATTGGAATATGTCACTTCATTAGCGTTATTAGAAACAATATTGGGCGTTAAATCTGCCCCTATAACATTATTTTGTTGGATATGCTTAATATTATTATCATTGTATGTTTCAGATATTAATATATCTGTCAATTCAGTGTCAGTGTCAGTATAATTTTGTGATTGAGATGTATTTACATCGTTTTTGATTTGAGTAGTACTATATTCCGATGATATTGGATTCGTTGGGATTTCAGAAATATTTTCAGCCGTTTTATGAATTACATCATATGATTGAGACATTTTATCTGAAGATATAGAATTGCTTTTGTTAGAATCAGTTAATTCTGTACGTTTGTCATAACTTTCATCATTGGATGATGCGTATTTATACAAATCTTTGTTAACATCTAAGATTGCTTTATGTATTGGAACTATATTTTCCGATACCAAAAGAAACATTACAGGCTGGTTATATTTAACTATCTTAATATCCTGCTTGATTGGTGTTTGCTTCTGAGGTAAATTATAATGACCATTATTCTCTATATTTTGTGATGTACTCAAGTTATCCTGTAAACTTGTTTTAGTCATATTTTCTTTATTATCAGTCAGTTGTTCATAAATTTCATCAAAAGAAGTAACAGCATTAAATAAGTTATTGTTAAAGTCTTGTTGTATATTTTGAAACACATTTATAGAATTGCTGCCACTATATTGTACCTGTAATGAGTGTTCTTCCTGTAAACTTTTTGCTATAGAGTCTAGTATTTCAATATTTGTTTGTCTGAAATTTTCTTCTTGTTCATTTATTTGATCACTCAAATTATTTGTTTGTCCTTCTAAATGATCAATAGCCTCTTCAAATTGTTCATTGTCTTCAGAACTTGTCCTAATAACTTTTGCAGTGTAAGCTATATTTTCATCCTCAGTGTTAGATGTTTCACTTTCATTAACATCTGACGATAATTCCTCTGTTTCATTTTCTGTATCACTATACGATGATTCTTTTTCTGACGATAAATCGGAACCATTTGAGCTGTTATCAGCTTCACTTCTAGATTTACTTCTACTATCAAGTGACCTAATATCTGAATTTAGTTCCTTCTTCATTTGTTGTATTAATTTTTGTGTATTGCCCACCATATCACTTAAATTATTTGGTTTTTCTTCTTCATTTATTTTGGCAATAGAAGTTTCAGAATTACTTTTCAAATCCTGGATAGTATCAGTACTTTTGCTTACAGTGCTATTTTTTGTTTTGCTGCATGCTTTTGATTTCGGAGTATGCACATTCAAAGTATCACTATTGGGTAAACCACTCTGAGTTTGTGTTTGAAAATGTTGAAACGAATCATCAATTTGAGATTCTTGTATTAAAATGGTATTTTTTTGTAACTGGTTTGTTTCAACAGAAACATCATTTACAGTGTTAACTTTGTCGTGGTTTTCTTTTTTTAAGCCTACTATATTATCTTTGTCATTTATAGGACGATCTTGGTTTTCTGCAAAATTGTTTGATTTGCTTATATTGGGTAATGGACTAAGTCTAGTTAAAGCATTATATGCATCAATAAAATCATTTTCAGATTGAACAAAGTCATTGGAATTTGATTTTAAATTAATATTGTTAATATTTTGAGGGCCTGTATCTCCTTCGTCTGTCATATTATTTTGGTTTGCTAACAAACCTTTTAAGAGCAATTTTTCATTTATGTTTGGAATTCCAGCTTGTAATAGGAGCGATTTTAATTTCTGCACTATGTGTATATCTTCTGTTACGCGATTTGCTGTGTCTGCCTGAGCTTTTGTTAAATTAACGTAATCATCATTTTCATTTAAATTATTTTTGTAGTTTTCTAGAGGCAAATACATCCAGTCGTCATCTTGAATCATGCTTGCTGGTGTTAGATCAAACTCATCAGAACTTTCTTCGGCTGAAATGTAAATGTGAAGATTATGATGGCGTTATGTGACGAAACGGCGAGTCAATGACAATTATTGATTTGGTTTCTTTTTAAGATTACCGCGTATGCGGTGTGAGCGGTCGGTGGGCGGTGCCGCGTCGTCTTCCACGCCCGTCGGAGAGCCCCACACGTGACCACGAAGACGACTTTCACCTTCGATGCCTATTGCTTCAGTCTGAAACATATGTTTCTATAATGACCATATGCATGTAGAATTTTAAACAAAGTGGATTAATGTGGCCAAGAAATTTGTAGTATTATAATAAGAAGACGCACACCTGTCGGCGCCATTTCTCAACGCAGTCGGTGACGGCGGGCCACATAGCGCCGCGATGCCGAGCGAGTGCTGCCCGAGCATCACGTTCACTAATAACAGCACCGGGAGCAAGCCGCACTGCAGCTGCACGTACTCCGGCACATAGACTAGGCCAGCGTTCGCGCAGCCATGATATCGGCGCTGCGGGGTTTTGAGCCAGCGCTGCGTGCACTTCTGCCGCACTAAACCCGAGCTTCTCTGCTTCGCCCATTAATCGCGCCAGTTCTAATCCTCTTTCAGTTTCTCGTCGAGCTCCGGCAGTGGCTAATGCTTCAAGTGATACAGCTCTATTTCCGGAGAATGGTTCGGGAGATGGAGCCTGCGTACATTCAAAAAAATACAATTAATTATTTCTTAAATTATTCCGATACCGTCACTGGACCAATAATTTACTGCGGCATGTAGACGTATGTAACCGTTGTAAATTTGTTTTGTTCATGTGATGCTGATGAACAGGTGCTGGCGATTCCTTTCAATGCCATGGGCAGTTGAAATCAAAGTTGGGTATCCATTTCCTCTCATCACGTTTTGGCAGATTTTATATGTTGAAATAATTACATTTTTAGAAATGGCTTAAGCCATGGAGGTTTCCTTGCTTTGTTATTCTTTATCGCCAAGAACGTTGTAATAAATATTTTCAAGTTTCAGGGTTTTTTTGTCAATTGTCAAATATTGTAATCTAATTACGAGTATACGGCTTTGATTGATAACTCCATAGACTTAGAATATACTACGCCAGTATATTCTAAGTCTATGGATAACTCTGACGGCTCCGTGGCGCACTCGCAATGAGTTGCGGCGCTAAGGCCCGCGGGTTCGCGTACAGAACAAGTATTTGTATTAAAAAAATCAATTTATTTCCAGTCCATAGAAGTGACATAAGAAAAAACATTTACATTATAATAAATTTAATCTCATCTAATTTAATTTTATATAATTCAATCTAATCTTTTTAATTTAATTTAATCTTATTCAATTTAATTCAATTCAATATAACTTAATTCGATTGTTTAACATATTAATTACTTGAATAATATTAATCTACAATTTAATTCATGTATCTGCCACCCTTTGGGGCACCGGGCACATGCATTTGTACCCAGTGCCCCAGAAGGGGGCAGTCAGGCTTGTCGCTGAGCACGTTCAGGATGGTATAGCCTACATGTTCCGCTTCTGTGTGTCCTTGTGAAATTTATGTATGTAAGATCCTTTACGATACAGGAGAAAATCTTAGTGTGGGTGTAACGTTTTTTTGAAGTAAAAAAATTAAAATAACTGAAGTTTCTACTAGGGTGGTCTGAAAAGTTTCTGACCTCAACGTGAAGATGGCAGCACTCGTCAAGAAAAGCTAGTGAATGTAATTGTGCATATATTGTCAGTTACGTACCAAAATTTCATCCATTTTGGACGCATAGTTGTTATTTGACAGTCGTTTGAGTGAGTCGATGTGAGTATTTTTGTGAAAATGGAAAAAATTGAGTAAAGAGCTGTCATAAAATTTTTGTTTTTGAAAGGAAATACGCCTACGCAAATCAAAGATGAGTTGGACTCTGTGTATGGGGACTCTGCATCGTCATTTACCACAGTGAAATTTTGGGCAGCTGAATTTAAAAGTGGCCGTGAGAGCTTTGGAGACGATGAACGTTCGGGACGTCCAAAAACTACAACTACTGACGACTACGTCCCTAAAGTTCACCAAATGGTGCTAGAGCACCGCCGAATAAAAGTGAGAGAGATAGGAGAGACTATAAATATGTCCAATGAACGTGTTTGTCACATATTAAATCAAGATTTAGGCATTAGCTGTCAGCGCGTAAGGTGCTGTGTTTGCTCACGTTAGACCAAAAACGTGTTCGAATAAACATTTCCAACGCTCTGTTGGCGCGGTTTAGGCGCAATAAATCCGAGTTCTGACGCCGATTAATTACTGTAGATGAAACGTGGATACAGCATTATACGCCCCAAACAAAAATGCAGTCTAAACAGAGGACTGCAAAGGGGGAACCGGCTTCAAAAAAGCAAAAACAGTTTTTTCGGCTGGGAAAGTGATGGCGAATGTTTTTTGGGATAGTCATGGAATTATCGTAATCGATAACTTCAAAGAGGAAAACCATTACATTAATCATTACTTAGTAAACTGAAGGCAGAAATTTCGAAAAAAGGGTCACATTTGCAGAAAAAGAAAATCCTGTTTCACTACGACAACGCGCCACCTCAGCGGTGGCCATGTCGAAAATCCACGAATTACGGTTTCAACTGCTTGACCATCCGTCTTCCCCAGCAGATCTAGCCCCAAGCGACTTCTTTTTATTCCCTCGTCTAAAAATTGCGTTCGGAGGACAGAGATTTTCGTCAAGTGAGGAGGCAATCACCTTCGTGAACGATTATTTTGCAGCATCGCTGGGAGAAGTGTGTAGAGTTACAAAGAGACTATGTAGAAATATATTTTTTTTTTAAGAAAAATGTCTTGTACCTTTGTTAGGTCGGAGACTTTTCAGACCACCCATGTATATGGTTAAATACATGCCGCATGTTAACCGTGAAGTGGAGGTGTAAGAATATCCACTACTCCATATCATCCCGTGTGTGACGTAAGAGACATGGGAAACTGAAACAAAAGAGGGGTAGGAGCATGTTTCTGACAACAGTAGAATAAGAAAACTGCGGTCGCCAAGCGTGGCATCTATGGCAAATATCCCTCCTATGAGGCAATCTTTTGATAAGCTGTAAAGGTAAAGAATGCCGTAAGGACAAGAATGAAGGCGTGAACAAGGGGTATAGGGAGGAACCTCTGAGCCGTAGACACTGGAGCGTCGCGAGGGGCGCGAGGGGCGCGTGCGGCGAACGTCGAGGTGCGAGGCGCGGCGCGTGAGGCGCGAGGCGCGGCGCCGCTCGCTGCCGCTCCACTCGGCGCCCGGGCTGCTGTCGCGCGTCTCGCGCCACTCCCACCGCCCCACGTTGCCGCCCCCTACGCCGCCGCTCGTCCGGATACTGCGCTCGCTTTCCTAAAACACAAATATCAAATTACATTAAATATTCATAATTTATACATTACTTTATCAGCCTTTTAAATTCCCTGCTGTTAATAACATCTATACAAATAAATAAAATTGAAGTGTCTGTTTGTAATGTCAAAATAACAGCTTTTTACTAAATGCATATAAAAGTAAATACGGTACTCATATCAAAACACAATTTTTAAAAATTGTGTCTGTCTGTCTGTCTGTCTGTTTGTTCCGGCTAATCTCTGAAACGGCTGGACCGATTTCGACGGGACTTTCACTGACAGATAGCTGATGTCATAAGGAGTAACTTAGGCTAATTTTATTTTAGAAACATAATTAGGGTTCCTCGCAAAAAAATTAAAACCTTAAATTACCCGCGGGCGAAGTTGCGGGGAACAGCTAGTAAGTATATATAATCGAAGTGTATGGCTGTAATAACGAAATAACTGCCTTTTATCGAGCTAAGGGGATTATTTGTGTGCCATTAATGCTCACACACTCAAACGCTGCCCAATTATAAGACGCCGTTAAGTCTCGTGCTGTCTCTATCACTTAACAAAGTGACTGTGACATCACGTGTTTAGTATTTGGCCGTACGACATGAATAACCATTTGTAAAATTTGTATCTGTCTGTTTGTCCGAGTTAATGTTCGAAATGGTTGAACCGATTATAATGAAACTTCACGAACATATTCAGAAAACAATGCCAGCAGTGACCTAAGCTATAGTTAATTCGAGAAACAAGTAGATTTTTTTGAGAAATTGAAAATTTATATAAATAAATAATAGCTGCTGTGTTTCGTATGGCGAGTGTAGAGAACTGGAGACCTTTTTTACTGGAAACGAGACATTCCATCTTAGTCCTCACTGGTGACAACGCATCTGCATTTTGATTCGTAATCGCAGATGTCTATGGGCCACAGCAACCACTTACCATCAGGTGGACTGTGTGCTCATTTGTCACCCTTATCCTATAAAAAAAATTATAAGGCCACATTAATAGATCTTACCGGTGGCTAGTCTTAAAATATATTATCGACATATATTTTAAAACTAGCCCACTCAACACACAAAAAAGGTGTAGGTGTCGATAATATAAGAGAAAGAACAGATTCTATGGTAAGCGGTTGGTGATTATTTTGTAGCCGAACTACTCACCAAGCGTTGCGATTAGCTACCTAATGTAAGATTGGCGATGTAGCGATGGTGTAATAAAATCCGCGACAGAGAAAGACAAACCAGGAGATGGGCAGCGACGTCTTCTCAATAACACCAAAAACCTGCCAACCCACCTGCCTGCAACTATGGCAAATATCCCTCCTATAAGGCAATCATCTATTGGGGAGATCTATGTCCTGCAGAGGACTTGATAGCTGTCATGTTGTAACATTAGCATACACATTAGTAGAGGCCTATTTTCAGCATTGTACTGTTACAGGCATGTTATGATGTTCATGAGATATCAAAAATTGAGAACAAAACGAACTCGAGTATCGCTTGAAACGGAGTGTCGACTATGCGAGCGTTCACGGCGCCCTTCGTCGCGGAAGCGACGTCGAGCTCGAGACCGAGCTACTGAAGGTGCACGCTCCCATGTGCTTGGTACGTCGTACGTCTGAAAATAATAAGTTTGAGTTTATGAAAATTTGTTATTAATATGAAAAGTAAATTTCATAGAGCACGTATGATGATATTAATATTTAATACGATATAGTATCTATATGCATATGAATCCTAAAAACAAACATTGATCTGTTCTTACTCTAATGATAACTTGTATCTTACCTATATATGCATTCTAATATTAAACAATGACTTCATTTTATGTCTGAGAGGTTTATGGAGCAATTAGACTACCGTGTTGACACAATACGTCTGGGCAGACTTCTTGTAGTAATCCAGGTCATAAAATTTTAATTAATAATTTCATTGATGCTGGTGGGATCGAAAATCTTTCTGTCCTTACTTATCTTGCTGGTAAGCTTAGAACCCACACCCACCGATTTGGTAATAGTGCTCCCTATCACCAGTCTGTAAAATTCAGGTTCGGTATTTTTGGAAGGGTTATACGCCATCAGAGCTTCAACAGGGTGCAAAGTAAAGCTGAGCTTGGCTTTTGAGAAGAAAAAAATATCATTGTCCACTGCACCGTAGCAAATTTGTTTACAATAATGAATGCGAGAATTTTATCCCTAGTCTTTGGTGCACGTCTAATTTTTATTGTGACCAATTTAATTGATGAATAGAAGTAAATCGACATAACTTGTTTATTACTTTACCTGTGTTGATATGCTTTGTGGTGGCGGAGAAGTTCCAGTATTAGACACATTTGCACGGCTTGAATTCGACGAAAGTATACTCGACGGTGTATCAATACGGCTTTCCCGTAGCGGTGAAGTACCCGTGGATATTTTATTGACGCTTGGAAAAGCATTTGATGAAGCTTGCTTCTTTGATACCTGCGTAGCTATTAGCTCACGTGGTGGTGAAGGACCAACTGATATACTGTGTCGCTTAGGTTCCTCCGCTTGCGATGTATTGTTTCTACTTGGGGAAGATCTAATCTGTGCTCTTCTTGTTTGATTTACATCCGTTTTAAGAATTTCTTTAGGAGGAGATGGTCCTACAGCCATATCATGTCGGGTTTGATTTGATTCCAAAGGTTTGTTACTAATTTCATCTCGCGCAGGTGTTGCTAGCCTGCTAAGTGGTTTTCGAGTAGTTTTGTCGTCTCTAGGCGGAGAAGGACCGCATGCTGTTGACGTGCGCTCTTTTAAGATTCTTGTTTTTGTTATATCTGCACCTGTGATGAAAACATATCCATTTACTTCAACTATTTCGTTATCACGCTTTGCATTTAATTACAATGAAGCTGCTTATAAAATGCATAAAAAAATAAAAATAATATTCTGCAATTATTGATTTCTTAAATGAACATTTTTATTTATACAATACTAACCTTGTTTGTTGACTGGTTCTTCTGTATTCGACCGCACTACCGAAGGAGATCTTTTTTCAGATATTTTAAGGTGTTTCATTCCATTTTTAACACTGGCAGCATTGATTATTTTTGGAGTAATTGTTGGAGTTCTACAACAAACAGCACACACTCTTACGCCTGGTTCATTGACGAATGTGCAGTGTTCGCATTGCCACGTGGCACTTGCCGCCGGTGGGGGTGGACCTAGAGGATCTTCCTCAGTATCTTCTTTAGCTGGATTTCGATCGCTTTCGACCTCACTTTCCGAATCAGCATCACTAGAAGGGAGAGATGGTGGCGAAGGCGTGCGGTGCTTTGTGCGTCGGGAAGTGCGGGAGCGAATACTAGCAGCCGGAGATGCTGCACGGGATCCTGCCCGGGATGCTGCCCTGGACACTGCTCGACTATCCGCTATATAATAATAAATATTTAAACTATTATATCAAGAGACATTATTGAATTTCGATAAAATTCTAAGATTTTCTTTAAATAATAAGAGTCACAAACGATCACACAGTCCACCTGATGGTAAGTCGACGCTGTAGCCAATAGATATCTGTATGTATTCTTGATTTACAGTCAAAATGCAGACGCGTTGTCACCCCTGAGGACTAAGATGGAATGCCTCGTTTCCAATAAAAAAGGGGCACCGGTTGTCTGCACTCACCATACGAATTACAGCAGCGTTAATTTGCCATTTCACACTGGTATACTGTGAAAGAGATGTTGTTCCCCGGTCAACCCGACTATTTCGTGTGTTGCAAGTATAATATAGCTGCATCATGGCTCTACTACTTAAAAAAAAAGGCAAAAAAAAGCGCCAATGAATACCCAATGGCTTTACACAGATTGCGGAATGACTATATATCTAAAATTAGTAGCCATAAAATATTCTAAATCGATGATTAAACTGTGAGATAGACGAGAGCCTATGCACCTGTAAGGCATATACATGAAGGCATGTCGTAGTTTGTCAAGACTTTTTACAGGCTGATGAAGATGAGTATAAAATGTAATGATAACAAACAACGTATAAAATGAAACTGTATTACCTCTGCGATACGGCTGCGGAGTTTGTGACGGGTGCACATGAGAATGAGCAGGAAACCGCGGATGAGGGGCCACGCAACAGGTTGGCGGCCATGCACCAACCCACGTGTGATCAAGGCTGGCACAGCTGCCATAACGCCATGGTTGCGCCATGCAGTGGGCACAGCCCGCGCAGTTGGTATTTGCAGGTGGTCCAATTCCTAATTCCATTACTGATGTCCCTCGCCTCAGCGGGCGACTCCATTGTGTGGGAGGATGCGCGCTGTCTGGCGTTTCCCATTGCTCTGCTGGCAAAGGCTGTGCCTAACAATATGAAAATAAATAATTTATTATAAATTCTTAAGGAACTAAGATAGACGAAATAATTCGAACAACTTGAGACATTAAATCACACATTTAGTGACTACTGTTAAGGATTTTTCATTTAATTTTTTTAAAGAATGTATCAATGAGCTCAATATTGACCACGGCTATATATTGCAGCTCGAAGTTCTCTTCTTAGCAGAGTAAATAGCCTCGTAATAAGAGTTTTCGCAAGTGTATTTACAAATACATGTAACGTCTTTCCTGACTTAAAAAATGAGAAGATTTTTAATTCAACTTTATATTTTTTTATTATAATGTGAAAAAATACGTAATGACTCCGATGTATAAATATAATACTTTATAAACGGCTCATTACAATTTTTTGCTTTTCCGTAAGGTATCAACTGCCTAGAACTAGAATTCAAGGTTATTCATTAGATATTATAATTATTAAATATTTAAAATTATAAATTGTAAAAAAATGTGTACCATATTTGGGGGCATAAACCCAGGGAGGGATGCACGTTGACGGCCCCATGCGTTAGGAACGTGTCCGAGAGTGTTCGATTGTTCTTGGTTTGGAACGGCAGGTGCGGGTGCGTGATGCATCGTCGCGGACAGATATGGCGTACTGCCCAAATGGCTTGCGTGTGCGCTCGGCGCGACATTCACTTGGAGGTGTGGGTGCACTGCCGATGGTTGAGCGCCTGCCGATGGTCGAGCGCGTTGAGCCGTAAAGTGGTTTGGATTAGATATCGCTGCAGCAGGTGTGTGCGTCGTAGACATTTGATTCGTTGACATCGTATTTAGAGTGGGACGACGTTGATCTGGTGTGGGTAGTCTAGGACTGGCACTCAATCTATCACCGCTAATCTAAAATAAAATCATATTTAATATTAAAAAAAAATGATTTTTGTTTTGTTTTAATATGAGCATTAAATATAATAAATGAAAGAGAATAACGGCTATCAAAACGTCCGCGAATATAGTTTTTCTTGTTTGTTTTATTTTGCTTTTTTAATATTAATAACGCAGTTGCTTATACATAGGCTCAAACAGAATTGCACTGCTCGTCTTCAAAATGCTTTTGGGTGGGAGACACCTCATTTGAGCACCGTAAGGTAACTCTACATGATGAAATTCGTAAAGGTCAGACACTCAACTGTGATTACTGAGGAAAATGTGGTTACTGTCAGGCGACTAATTGAAGAGAACCGGTGCATCAGCATCACCTATAAGGAGATTCGAGGACATTAGTTGTTGAGCCAAATTCAAAAACAATTTACATCAACATATAAAACGTAAATTTTGTTGCCGCTGGATTCCTTATGAACTCATCCCAGAACGAAAACGGGCTCGAGCTGATTGGAGTAAAAAAAATTGTTATAGCAGGATCACGGATGTGCGAATGCACGTGTATGACACTGTGACAGGAGATAAAACATGGATATATACAAATGTAACGACATTTCGGAAAGAAAGCAATAGTCTTCTGTATGAGCAAGGCAAGATCCGTGGATAAAAAAAAGATTGCGTTTTTTTACTCCCAGGCGGGTCCTGTATGCACGATTCCACCTGATGAGCAAAACATAGTTAACGCTGAATTGTACACACCACTATTACTTTGCGCGGTGTATTTGACAAAGTTAGGGAAAAACGACAATGAAGTCGCATCGTATTGCACCATTTTTTATTTTATGGCTTTAATAAAAATAATGTTATTTTGTCAGCAAACCACACACGTTTTTATTGCTTTTCTTGCAATGCTGTCCATCCAAAGGTTGTCTGGAAGAGATCGCTCTTAGCGATAAGACCGCCCATTGTACCACATTTCTTTTTCTCATTTTTTGTTAATAATTTTGTTATTTTTTGACGTGCAATAAAGTGTTATCGTATATCTAGTGTATATCTATCATGACAATACTTCGGCGCACACCGCGAATAAGGCAGTAATTTTTGACTCCTGAAAACGTGGAGCTCACGAACCGTCCTATTTATAGACCAGACATGCGATTTCTTTATTATTCCAAATATCAAGATTTGTTAAGAGGTTTGACCTTACGGAGACAGAAGACGTCGTGATGGCTTTCGACCGACACGTAAAAACATGCCCGTATATCAATGGTCCATATGTTTTCAAAAATGTAATGGAGAGTACTTTGATGAACAGTAAATCATATATTGGTTTACATAGGTATATATTGTTCTATTTATAAGTTCTATAACTTTCAGTGTACCTACCTAAGAATAATCACTACCCAACCCCAACTCAACAAATAGAAACACAGCAAGAGATGGGCAGCAGCGATTTCTGGATAACGACTCAGGATAATAAAAAACTGCGGGTCGACAACCAGCCTGACAAACGTGGCAAGCAGCTATAGCAATTTTTCCCCTTTATGAGGCAATATACGAGCGAGACCTATGTTCAACAGTGGATTTTTGAAGGTAAAAAAAGGAAACAATATATTCGAATATTATTACTTTATAATATACTATATACTAATATACTTTAGAATATTTGTACTTCGTTTTTTTTTGTACTACACAATTTTCATTAATCATGTTTTATAGGACCTATAAAACATCTTTGGGTAGAGGATTTTCTTATGCCGCTAAAATTAAATCATCATAAAGATAAAGATTGGGCGACGAATATTTAAAATAATTAAATATTTTGAAGCTATTAATTAAAAAAAAATAGGTACCTTATGTTTCCTTGGCGGAGGCACTGGCGGGCCAGTCTTTGGTGGAAGTGGGGGCCGTTCATCTCGCAGTTGGGACTGGGACAGAGCCTGTGTGGTTTAAATATACTTACATCAATTTAACATTTAAATGTTTATTAAAGTTTAAGTTAGAGGAAGAAGAAACTTCTGATTAAGTGCGTAGCTTCTAAACTGTATCGATACGAAATATTATCAACAGACAATGAGATTCTCTAAGTCCAAAGTTGGGCTCCTTGCCAAGAATGGGTCAGTGTGTATTTTTTCAAATTTTCTAAGTGTTGACTTGCCTTGACTTGTTATCATCAGTCTCAAAATAACGGTTACTTGATTTTTCTTGTAAACTTTCAATTTTTTTTTTATTTCCGCAAGTGCAAAGCATCGCCTATTATTTTTAAATAACTTCGATTTCGTGATTTTTGTTTTTCGTAAGGAAAGCGTGCTTTTTTGTTTCTCGTTTGGAAGTAATTGGAAGTAAATACTTTAGAAATAATTTGGAAGTAAAGACTAGAAATAAGTTGGGGGTGACTCGAACTTTAGGCCTAGTCAGTTTGAATAGCCTATCATGTAGAGGAGGTCATGGGGGTCATGGTTGAATAGGGGCAAAAAGTTCTCATTACACTCCTAGGTGGTCAAAATGGCCAAAAACCAAAAAATAAAAAATTCTTATTTCGGCTATAACTCCGCCTTCTTCGGAGGGTCTCACACAGTCTTTACTTCCCGCATCCCACTTGCTATATTAAGTTATACCTATCATAATGTGAAGATCGTATTTTTTTAAAGAAAATTTAAATTTTTGGTGTGCATGTTTCAAAGACAGCACAATAGATATTTTTGATGCAACTATAATTTTGGCGTGATCCCAATGTAATGACGACTTAAATTATTATTAGATATACTATTTTTACTACTATTTTTACTATAGAAATAATGTTGCAAATACTTTGTGTTAAACACATTTTAATGTGTAAAAACTTATAAATTTTTTACATTCTCTAGCATATTCTTAAGTTATAAGTTATAATAATATAAATATATAACAGAGAAATAAAGATGACGACTATTTAGTTTCACCTTTGTTTTGTTTCTGTCTCTTCTAGTCTTCTCTTTGTTCGTATAAATAAATGGTCCGAGAGCTCATGACGCATTTTTCATGAAGTGTTTGATGCATCATGAAACTTTGTTTAAAGGTATCAGTCGACTCAATAAGCAGGTATATGACTGTCTGCCTGGCCTACCTGGGTACACCTGGTACTGCGCATACAGTTAAGTCGAAAAAAAATTTGCCCAAAAAAAAGTGTTTGATTCAAATAATAATAATGACTATCCGTTAGCTAAGTTTATAAACAATTAAGAAAAAAAATGGCAGACACTTCTGAAGGGGTTTACATAGGGGCAGACGACCACAAAGTTGTATTTTCAAAAATTCCAAAAAAAGTGTTTGATTCAGTCTGCCATTTTTACAGCGTGTTTATTATGTATAATAAAATATTCTCACAAAAAGGCAGACAGTTTCTCCGTGGGTTACTAATTTAAAAATCTATACAAATAAATAATCACTTTTTAAATGGTCCATATTTCCTATCATAATAATTAATACATCTGTATCACATGATTTGATAAGTACATTGACAGCAGAATCCGATTCCAATTGACAAACATGAAAATAATTATACTTTTTTAAGATTATTTAAATAGCTGCTGATAAAATAAAAAGCTGTTCCCCGCGACTTCGCCCGCATGTAATTTAGGGTTTTATTTTTTTTGCGCGGTACCCTAATAATTTTTTTTAAATTTAAAAGCAGCCTAAAATACTCGTTATAACATCAATTATCTGCCAGTGAAAGTCCCGTCAAAATCGGTCCAGCCATTTCGGAGATTAGTCGGAACAAACAGACAGACAAAAATTTTAAAAATTGTGTTTTTGTTATAAATATCGTATATAATGTCTTATGCGTTTAGTAAAAAATTGTTATTTTGAAATTAAAAACAGACATTTAAATTTTATTTATTTGTATAGATTTTTAAATTAGTAACCCCCGGAGAAACTGTCTGCCTTTTTGTGAGAATATTTTATTATACATAATAAACACGCTGTAAAAATGGCAGACTGAATCAAACACTTTTTTTGGAATTTTTGAAAATACAACTTTGTGGTCGTCTGCCCCTATGTAAACCCCTTCAGAAGTGTCTGCCATTTTTTTTCTTAATTGTTTATAAACTTAGCTAACGGATAGTCATTATTATTATTTGAATCAAACACTTTTTTTTGGGCAAATTTTTTTTCGACTTAACTGTATGCGCAGTACCAGGTGTACCCAGGTAGGCCAGGCAGACAGTCATATACCTGCTTATTGAGTCGACTGATACCTTTAAACAAAGTTTCATGATGCATCAAACACTTCATGAAAAATGCGTCATGAGCTCTCGGACCAAAATATGTATAAGTATATTGAAAACAATGAAATTGCTTTATTTGCTAAGCGTTAAAAGAGTTAATTAAAATTATTATTATAAATAACTATGAAAACAAAAAAGCTAAAGTAGGTAAAGATGGTGCTAAACCTGTCGCTGATGGTGGCGTCGTTTAGGATGACGATGGTACATGTCATCACACGAGGCGCAGAGTGCCCTGCGGCCGCATTCTGCGCAACGGACTCGCGCACCTCCACCACCGCAAAGTCCGCATGAAGCCCCCGCATCCAGTGGATGTCCTGGTGAATTATCAACAATTTTAACACTTTTTTTTTACTGTTAACAGCTGTTATGTTATTTAAACAATATAAAAAAACATCTTTCTGTATATTCGCATAAATCTTTAAAAAAAAAAACTAATCTAGTTAAGAACTATGGTATTATAATATTAACAATTTCCTCCAGATCGATTTTGTTCACGACGGCCAGTTTCAACAGAAACTTCTGATATTGTCCAAGTTTATACACAGGTGCAAGCACAGGTATATTCTCTATTCTCATAGTCCGATGAAACGGTAATCCGACACGACCGGATAGAGATCCGGCGCAGGACCAACGACTTTACCTGCTTTTCCGAGGCACAGGTGTGAAACACCGTTAATTACCACTGCCACGATAAGCAACACGCCTATATCTTAGGCCAATCGACAGAATCGGCACTTTACCAGGTAATAATAAAGATCGAAGGGGCCGTCCAAAACAAAGAAATATGTCTAGGTTCCTTTGACAGAACGAACTTCTCCAGCATAAAAGTTGCACTAAGTAGAGATAGAATTGAACCAGCACTGATTGACTGGATAGTAAACATGCTCAGTTCACGAACAATAAAGATTGCTTGTGAATCTCAAGCAGTCCAAATAAGGAGGGCTGCCCGCAGGGTGAGGTTCTTTCACTTCTCCTGTGGAATATGGTCATAAATGAACTAATCAGCAAATTGCCAACCACGTCTATACCATTGATTATGCAGATGATCTGACAATACTGGTCAATGGGAAAAACAGCAAGCGAAGAGGGATCTAACCAAAGCGGCTCTCCGTACAGTGGAGTGTTGATGCAAATAATACGACTTAACTGTCAATCCAAATAAAACGGTTTTACTAATGTAACACAAAAACGAATGCTGAATAATTATCAGCTACCAAGTCTCTTCAGCACAAAACTCCAGCTATCCTCTGAGGTAAAATACTTAGGTCTTACCTTGGACAGTAAACTCAACTAATAAACTAATAAACACATAGAAAATAAAACCAAACTAGTATAACTTTCTGGCAATGCAGAAATATGATTGGCAAAGGATGGTGTCTGACGCCAAAAATTATACTATGACTGTACAAAACTGTAATTCGGCCCATGATTACTTACGGCGTTCTGGTATGGTGGATCAAAACAAATGAAGAACTATAAAGAAGCTTCAGCGTTACCAGAGACCAGCATGTATGGCCGCCACAGGCTGCATAAGGACAACACCAACAGCAGCCTTAGAGGCTATGCTGTAGCTAACCCTGCGTCATCTACACATACAACAAGAAAAAACTTGAGCTGGCATTAGACTCAAGACCCTAAATCTTTGGACTAAGAGTACAGTCCCTCATACAGGTATAATTGATAGAATTCACTCAAAAATTCCTATCTTACAAGCCAAGTACGATAAGATCCCCAAACAATTTCTGTTCGATAATAAGTATAAGATACAATTAAATGAAACAAGCCAGCCGGAGCGATTAAGGCCAAAAGAACTTAGAGTTTTCACGGATGGTTCTTAAACAAATGAAGGTATAGGTTCTGGAACTTTCTCTGAAGACCTCAATATCTACATATGTACACTGCTGGGTACCCACAACATAGTCTTTCAAGCGAAATGTATGAGTATCATCCAAGCAGCCATAGCAGTAGATGCTAGGAAGGTAAAAGACTTCTCTATCAGAATACTGATCGACAGTATGGGTACTACAAGCACTGAGTTGCAATGTGGTGAACCGGGCATAATATATGAATGCCATCAACGATTAAATGAGGTATGTAAACACAATGTGTCTCTGCAATGGATAAAGGGGCACAGTGGATCCATAGGCAATGATGTAGCAGACCAACTGGCCAGAAGAGGATCGGCTCTGGCCACTATAGGGCCGGAACCAATCATATCAATCCCCTTTGGTAACGTTCGTTCACTGGGACCTAGAAGCTTCACTAATCTGAGACAAGACTAAGACTGTAGACAATCTAGGGAGGCCTGCTAGTGGTAATAGAAGTGGCGCAAAGTACTGAACGAGCTGGAACTTATTATCTCATCTGTGCTGGAACTTTAAAAACGGCATCACGCACTGATTGTACACTCGTCTTCAAGTTTTGTGATATAAATATATGGTATATGAACAGAATTTTTTAACGAAAAAATCGTACCTGTCGGTGGTCGTGGTGGGGGAGGAGGTGGTGGCTGCAACTTAGCATTGACATACTGTTCCGAAGGGAATTCCACCACTTCGTAGTCAGGTTCAGGTTTTGCTAAGGGCACTCGTTGCGCAGTCGATCGTATTGATAGTGTCGATGTTGCGGGCACCCCAGCCCTGGGATCCCTGCCTCGCCCTTTCAGCATCTATAAAACGTGTTTGGTTACTATTATGAGTAAAAATATTTAACAGTATCTGTGTGGAGGGAGACGTAGTGTAAGATTTAGGGTGAGAGGTTACAACATTTTTGTAATGGTAACTCTATCTTGTTATTGAAGTTCGATTCCTCGATGCAATAGAATAACAATCTCTTTATATATACCTGTTTTGTTATCTTCTATCAAAATTTTGAAACTACACAAAATATATGTTCAGGTACTTAAAAGTCATAGCCTATTTAGGTCCCACTGCTGACTGTAGTCAGCAGTGGGACCTAAAAGTGAGAGGAGTCCTGTAGGACTCCTCTCACTTCTGAGAGGGTTTTAGGACAACAAATGTTATTTTTTTATTTTTTATTTCTCAGATATGCAGGCTTCCTCACAATGTTTTCTTTCACAGCCTAGCACGTGGTAAATCAGCATCCAGAACCCGGGTTGCTCGCGTACTGTGAAATTTACAGCGACCGCTAAGCCCCTGAGTAAGTACTTAAGGTTAATTTTATTCCATATATTAAATTAGTTTTATTCTATACATAAATTGTTTTATACTATATTTAAAATTAAGAGGAAATAAGTACCCTTTGGTTTACTTTATGAATGATCAAAAGTGGTTTAATATTTTATTTTAATTTATTTCCATACTACGAGTAGTACAAAACTAGGCCTACGCTTCATATAATTTTGGACCGTCCTTACAAGATGATTTTAATTATAAACGTTACTTGTACGTGGTAGAGTCTTGCTGCAGCTATATTAGTAGTATAGTTGTAGCACAATGGGTCGGCTCGACCGGGGAAGGACCACGCTCTCACAGCATAGGTACGAGCGTAAAATAGCTGCTTAACGCTACTTTTTTTTATAGGAGAGGGGGCAAACGAGCATGCGGCTCACCTGATGGTAAGTGACTACCGCCGCCCATGAACAACTGCAACACCAGGGAGGGAATTGCAGATGCGTTGCCGGCCTTTTAAAAAGGAGTACGCTCTTTTCTTGAAGGCCCCTAAGTCGTATCGGTCCGGAAAAATCGCTGATGGTAATCGATTCCACAAGGAAGTCGTGCGAGGAAGAAAACATCTTCTAAATCGCACAGTGGTGGAACACCAATCATCCAGATGGTGTGGATGGTATCGGGAGTTCTGCCGCGATGTGCGTTCGTAAAATTTGGCGGCTGGGATTAATCCGAACAATTCCTCAGAGTACTCCCCATGGTAGATGCGAAAGAAAATGCAAAGGGATGCAACATCTCTTCGCAGTGCCAATGAATCAAGCCGATCGGAAAGGACTCGGTCGTCGACGATTCGAGCCGCTCTGCGCTGGATGCGGTCAAGTGGAAGGAGCTGGCACTGGGGAGCCTCTGCCCAGAGATGGGAACAGTATTCCATGTGAGGCCGAACCTGCGCCTTGTAAAGTTGCAGGCGGTGTGCCGGCATGAAATACTGTCCCGCTCTGCTGAGCACGCCAAGCTTTTTAGAGGCCAATTTGGCCTTCTCTTCCAAGTGACCACGAAACTGCACGTTACTCGATATGTCGACTCCGAGGATACCGATACTGGCTGAGGCAAGAAGGGAAGTCCCTTGAAACTGAGGAGATACGACAAAGGGGTTCTTTTTAGCGGTAAACGCGCAAACTTGTGTCTTCTGAGGATTAAACTGGACTAGATTTAGTCGCCCCCAATCCGAGACTTTGTTCAGCAAAGACTCGACTTCAGATACAAGTTTGTTCCGGTATTCGGCGACGTTTTCCCGAGAAATATTGGCACGGCCGGTGTATGGAGCATCACCAGTGCTGTCATCCGCATAGCAATGAATGTTACCAGTTAGCAACATATCATTGATATGCAGAAGAAACAGCGTTGGTGATAGCACACAGCCTTGTTGAACACCAGCGTTAATAGGCTTGTAGTCAGAACATGCACTGTGTTTCGTATGGTGAGTGTAGAGAACCGGAGGCCTCTTTTATTGGAAACGAGGCATTCCACCTTATTTCTCATAGGTGTCAACACATCTACATTTTGATTGATAGTTGAGGATAGATGTAGATATCTATTACCGACAGGCGGACAGTGTGCTCGTTTGTTACCCTATAAAAAAAATTAAAAACGGTTGACCGTGCAGCTCATGCCTGGAACTTCCCGCTTATTTTCGAGCGCAAAGTTCGAAAATCTATTTAATTTTTGTTTTTTGGTTTTTACCTTCTGAAAATCTTTGAAACGGCTCGACCATTAACTTGAAAATCTAATCAGCTCGAATTCTTAATGAATACTTTCGAAGGCCGTGTCACCCATCTCTATCGGTTAATTCATTCTAAAGATATCGTACGATAAAATTTTATTTACATACATACATACACACACGCGGCCGGACGTCCAGCCGGGAATAGTCGGTCCTAGGATATCAAAACGTGGAGATCTGATGAAAACTAGCATATACTCAAAATCGGACCGAAATCAACAACTTCCTGCTTTTGAAAATTATTAATTTTCAAAGTGGGAAGTTAAAAATTGTGAAAACATCATTCCATAATAAATTTGATTTAATTTTATTATGGAATGTTATTACCTACTTTATTTCCTAAATATATTCATTTTTTTATTTAAAATTACGAAGCTAATACATATAATAGCATTATTTGTTTCACGAATCAGTCGCAAATCGCAATCGCTCTGTTGAGACGGGAAGACTGTGTTTCTGTGCACTGCGCCCGCGCCGAAAAAAGATCGTGTTGTACACGTTGTACATTAATAGGTCGATAGGAATATAGCGAACAACAAAGCTCAATAACGGAATTGTCGTATTTATGTATTTTTAGAGTAGACTCTCCTGGGAATATCGATCCTTATTATTTAGAGAGTAGTATATTCCTTGTTTACTACTAATTAAACTCAAGCACTATCGTCATAAGCGCGTAGCAAATGCAAAATAAATGGGAGCTTTGTCTGCTATTGGTCGCTAAATTACAAATACTATTCTTAATTATTCATATTTTCGAAGGAAATAAATAAGCAAGGACGAATAATAAACTTAATTTCAAATTGGAAAAACTATACACAAGCAATGAATTTATAGTAAACAAACTGACAAATAAACGAAGGAAAATGAAATTAATAATAATAATAATGTCAAAAATAATAAAGTAATGATAATAATAATAACGCACTATAATGACGTCCCACAGGATGCATCATCCGAGATCGTCAGTAATGAGGCTGTACTTGCCGCGGAAGCATGGTGGGCGCGGCTTTTTAAGCGCGCTTACCATGCATAATCGCGAAGTGTGCAGCCTCCGTAATTACTTTCTGACGAGAGCGGATGATCCATACTATAGGGACGTTATTTCTTGTGATAAAGGACTGACCCCTCTATCCTTAGCCAACGAGCAATGGCAAGACCCAGCAGTACAGTGCATTTCCGACCGGGAGGCCGTATGGAAGAAGAAGGAGCTCCACGGGAGGTTCTACAAGGCTCTACATGAGCCTTTCGTAGACACAGTCGCCTCCCTTCACTGGCTACGTTTCGGTGACCTCTTTGGGGAAACCGAGGGTTTTGTCTGTGCGATACAGGATCAGGTTATTAAGACCAACAATTATCGGAGATACATCCTAAAGGATGGCGCCGTCGACATCTATCGAGCTTGTCGCCATCCCGGTGAGTCACTTAGGCATGTCATCTCCGGTTGTTCGGCGCTTTCTAACTCTGAGTATTTGCACAGACACAATCTAGTAGCCAGGATTCTACACCAGGAGCTCGCTCTGAAATACGGCCTCGTGGATCGGAAACTGCCGTATTATAAGTACTTGCAGGAAGCCGTGCTCGAAAATGACCGCGCCAGGCTCTACTGGGACCGGGCCATCATCACAGACAGGACTATTCTTGCGAATAAGCCTGATATTGTGCTGATGGACCGGGCACAGTCAAGGATCTTTTTGGTCGACATTACCATTCCTTATGACGAGAACCTCGTGAAAGCCGAAACAGATAAGGTGACAAAATATCTGGACCTGGCTCACGAGGTTACCGGCATGTGGGGTGGTCTGCCGACCGAAATTATTCCTGTGGTCGTTTCTGCGAACGGGTTAATCCCAATCAGCCTCCCGGGTTATCTGAGGCGACTGGGACTCCGTGACGGACCGCTCCAGGCTCAAATGCAGAAGGCGGTGCTCCTGGATACCGCCCGCATCGTCCGCCGGTTTCTTTCCCTTTCTCCCTAACCCTCGGCCGTCTGGTCTCCCCTGCCGAGGGCTTCCATCTGGTTGGGTTTTTATATATTTATGTATTTTTTATGTATTTATTTTATTTTATTCATATTTATGTATGTTTACCATTTTCATTTACAATTATATATTTATACTGCCCAACCAGATGAGAAAACTTTATAGATACCCCAAAATAATAATAAAGTAAAAAAAAACAATAACTGATAATTGAATATTAAAACACGTATGAAAATCTTTAATTTGTGATCTGTGTTAAAAATTACGTCAATTTGTTACATCTCATTATCATGTCTTTAGAAAAAATGTAGAGATAAGCATAAAGGTTTCATATAAGTTGTCAATGTTTAATATGTTCACATCATCAATAGATGGCACAACAATATAATTGTATTACGCTATAATTGTTCTATTCACTAAGCTTTACAGGTGTAGGATGATTTCGAATAAATGAGTCAGAATGAAAATAAAAGTGCAGTGTTTTAATTTAATAGTGTAGAAGTATAGTGAATTGAGTTAGTCGACATTTAGTGCCGAAACCCGGGAACTGGACATAACCGTGAGTAGAGTGCGTAAACAGTGACAAGTGTTAGCATATAAGTTGTCTGTGTTGTATAGCATTAAGTTGTTGTGTTGTTGTATTTCATATAAGTTGTCAATGTTTAATATGTTCACAGCATCAATAGATGGCACAACAATATAATTGTATTACGCTATAATTGTTCTATTCACTAAGCTTTATAGGTGTAGGATGAATTCGAATAAATGAGTCAGAATGAAAATAAAAGTGCAGTGTTTAATTTAATAGTGTAGAAGTATAGTGAATTGAGTTAGTCGACATTTAGTGCCGAAACCCGGGAACTGGACATAACCGTGAGTAGAGTGCGTAAACAGTGACAAGTGTTATATAGCAGTGAACTCTGGACTTCATTATCGCCGGTGGTGATATACAAGATCTAAGCTTAGTGCGACATAAAGTTTTTTCAATTTCTTGAACGGATAAACTTGAAGAGACAGCATTATAATAAAATGGAGTCACTTCTTTTAAATCAGGAAGACAACTTGGATCATGTTAAAAGAGGTTTTGCAAATTATAAAAAATCACCTAAAGAAAGAATAACGCAGGATTATATTGAAGCAAGATTAGAAAATCTAGAGAGGTTAAATACCAACTTTTTAACTTTACATGCGCAAATATTACAGACAGTTAAAAGGGAGGAAAAGGACAACATTGACTATTTCAAAAACGACATATATATACAGTTTGAGGAGATGTATATAGAGTACCTATAAAACAAAACTAAAAGACAATTTACGAGCAAACGCTCTACAAGAAAAGTGTTCTATCACAGAAATACCTCAACAACCATTGCCATGTGAAGTAAAGTTACCTCAAATAAAATTACCTGTATTTTCTGGTGGCTATGAAGAATGGCAAACATTTTATGATTTATTTCGTTCACTGATCCATAATAACGTCAACTTAATGCCCGTTCAAAAGCTCCATTACCTCAAAAGTAGTTTATCTGGTGAACCGGAGAGCTAAACTCTCACGACTGATTCTAATTATGAAGAAGCCTGGATACAAAGAAATTTATGACCAAATGGTTAAATTAATGAGCGTTGGCGGTTTTATACTGCAGAAATGAAATACGAACTCTCAAGCTTTATTAGAATATATTGAAGAAGAAAGTAAAGGATCAGAAGCAATAGTTTTCAAAGTAAATAACGATATGATAAAGGTGCTCTGCATAAGATGGAATCGGACAACGGACTGTTTTGAATACGTCTTAAAATTATCAGATTTACCTGAATCAATGACTAAGAGACATGTTCTATCAAAAATAGCAAGATTATATGATCCTCTAGGATGGATAGCGCCAATTATTGTGACGGCAAAAATTTATATTCAAAAATTATGGAAATCTGGTTTAAATTGGGATGAAGCACTAACAGAAAGCCTAATGAAGGAATGGTTAGAATTCGAAAACGATCTCGCTAAGGTAGAGAGAATCGTTATACCCAGATGGGTAAACACTAGAAAGGAAGATAAAATAGAGTTGCATGTATTTGCTGACGCATCACAAGCAGCCTATGCAGCGGCAGTTTATTTGAAGTCATTTGACAATAATGGTCAAGTGTGCGTTAATTTAATTTCAGCCAAAACTAAAGTTTCTGCAATTGGCAAGGAAGTATCAATTCCTCGACTAGAGCTGTGTGCTGCATTGCTAGGTACTAAATTGATATATGAAATATCACAGATAATGAAAATTCCTAAAGAAAATTTATATGCCTGGTCGGATTCTACTGTGGTGTTGGCATGATTAACGGTGAACCTAGCTGATGGACAACATTTGTAAGCAACCGAGTCTGTGATTTTGACTATGATAGACAAAGATCAGTGGGGTCATGTCAATACAAACGATAATCCAGCAGACGGTGCGTCAAGAGGTATGTCCGTAAGCCGCATTCTTGGTAATAACTTGTGGTGGCATGGCCCGTTGTGGCTGCAAGAAAAGACGACTCAATATAGGCAGACTAAAGGAACATTTATAACTAAAGAAGAAGAAAGACCAATCAAACATTTTCTCACAGTAAAGGCAAGCCGTGAAGAAGATCCATTATTTACGAAGTTTTCGAGCTTAACTTAAACTATAAAAGTACTAGCTGTATGTAAAAGAGTTTTAAGGTGGAAGCTAGCTAAAGATTAGAGAAAGTTTCCTAAATTTGTTACTGCAAAAGAAATGGACGAAACTCTTCAGTGTTGTATCAAACATAGTCAGAACATTTTTTTGAAAAAGAACTTGAAATGATAAAAAAACAAGGACACGTTGCCAAAAACAACCACCTTCACTCTCTTAGTCCAATTCTTGATGAAAATGGGGTGTTAAGAGTTGGTGGTCGCATTCACCGTGCTCAAACGGACTATGATAATAGGCACCCGATAATTATACCTAGTGAAAGTCATATAACTAACTTAATAATATTGGATGCTCATATGAAGACATTGCATGGTGGGCCACAAATTATGTTAAATTTTATACGATCTAAATACTGGATAATCCGTGCTAGAGTACTGGTTAAGAAGTGCTACAGAAAATGTATGAAATGTTTAAGATACTCCAGGCAAGACAATAACCAGTTTATGAGTCAGCTTCCTTAAGTCAGATTAAAGCCATCTCGACCGTTTCAATCAGCAGGTGTTGACTTTACGGGATACATAAATATACGGATGTCTCCCGGTCGAGGAGCCACAGCATATGAAGGATATATATGTGTCTTCGTATGTATGATATCTAAGGCTGTGCACTTAGAAGCCGTCTCGGATTTAACAGCTAAGGGCTTTATCGCAGCCTTTCGCTGTTTCGTGTCTCGTCGCGGTCACTGTACAGCCTTATACAGTGATAATGGTACCAATTTCGTCGGCGCCGATAAAGAGTTGCGTGAAATGCTGAATAGTGTCAAGTCTAAGCTACCCGATGAAATCAACAAACTGCTTGCTATTGAAAGAACAACGTGGCACTTCATACCTCCACACTCTCCCAATTTTGGAGGCCTGTGGGAAGCAGGAGTTCGATGCATGAAGTCACATCTAAAACGAGTGATAGGTGATTCAAAGCTAACCTTCGAAGAACTTTCTACAGTTCTAGCACAAATCGAGGCGTGCTTAAATTCACGTCCACTTTCCTATATAAGTGACAATCCTGAGGATCCATTACCACTAACCCCAGGTCACTTTTTGGTGGGTGAGCCCTTGATAGTAGTACCAGAAGAAAATTACTCAAATATACCACTAAACAGACTACAAAGATGGAAATTCGGTCAAAGAATGGTAAACGAATTTTGGAAAAGATGGTCAGAAGAGTATTTAGTCACGCTAAACCAAAGGTATAAATGGAATACAAAGAAGATTGAGCCTGAGATCGATAATGTGGTAATAATAAAGGACCATAATCTTCCTCCAGTCAAATGGTTGCTTGGAAAAGTCATCGAAAAACATCCTGGAGCAGATAACATCACAAGAGTTGTGTCTATAAAAACTAAGAATGGTATTTGTAAGGATGATTTCGAATAAATGAGTCAAAATGAAGATAAAAGTGCAGTATTTAATTTAATAGTGTAGAAGTATAGTGGATTGAGTTAGTCGACAATCTGTACGTTTTCAAATTAGCTCAAATGGATAGCGCTCGCAGTAAGGTTCACTGTACGCGAGCAACCCGGGATCATCGCGGCGGACATTTCCTTTCCATGTGAAGGCCTGTGCCCAGCAATGGGACGGATATAGGCTGTAACTTTAACTTTTTAACCTTTTCAAATATTTTAAATTACGTTATAATACTAATTTTATACGTGGTAGAGTCAATATTAAATTTCACCGCCATGTTACACCAGTGTCAATGGCACCAACATCGATAGATACCTCATACTTTATAATTATAACTTAATGGAAACAAAGAATGGTCCTATGTAATATAAGTTTTTTAATTAATAGTACTCATTGAAAATGCATCTCATAGGATTTGTAAAGAATTAATATAATTTACCATTAACTTATACATACTAGCGTAATTTACACTCTATCGAACTGTAGTAACTTAAGGGTTTTGTTAACATATCACCTCACTTCATTGTCTTTCACTTCGTCCATATAAAAACAAAGGAGGCTATATTTTTTAATTGATATCATATCCGTAAGAAATCAGGTGGAATGTGTGCTCGTTTGTCACCCTTATTTTGTAAAAAAAGGTACCTTCTTATCATGAAAAAACCTGCATGTCTGAGAAATATTTTTTTTTCGAAGACGTGTGAAGTCCGCCACCTTAGCACATTAGCAGCGCGGCGGAGATACTCGTAGCTTCATAAATATAGAGCAATTATAAACTCTATTTTTTTAATTTTGCCTAATAAATACAGTGCCTTTAAGATTTATTAGGTTGAAATTTGCAGTTAGGTAAGATTTTACCTTAGTTTAAAATTTTATGCTTAAAGTGTAAACCAAGATGGAGAAACCGAGAAGCGTCCTTTATTTAGGACATTTGTACAGATCACAAACAATCGTTAAAATCATGCTCTATCACAATCATGCATGTTTATTGTATAGTAGTCTTGAGAGTCAATTTTTACTAGTCCATTTTAAGTTACTGCAGCTCTTGGACATCTGCAATCAACTTCAAAACAGGCCTCAGACGCGTTGTTGACCTGACTAAGGTGAAATGTATAGCCTGTTATTATACTATCTCTCTTAACTTTCAAACCGTAATTCAGCTGTGGATGTACTGCTGTTTGGAATAATTATATTCTTAGTACTGCTGCTTGTCGTCTTAAAGGTAGAAATAAACACCGAGACGAAGGGAAACCGAGGCAGAATAGGAGCCCTACCTGCCACTTATAAAATAGTTTTATATTACAAATATTTTTTACGTAACATTTGTTAGTTAGAAATTAATTTATTAATTCCAATTTATAGTACTAAATTAAAGTTTTGTCTGTTGTCAAATTATCGATATTTTAACAGTATATTAATAAATGAATTAATAAGCTACATTGTTATTTTACGTGTAAAACTTCATTAAAACTTTTACACTCCCGCGTAGCGACTATTCACCTCGTAGCCTATTCTACTATATCTTCCGTGGGCGAATTCCGGCAGTATGTGCGGTGATCACCACATAGAATCCCAGAATAGCGTCTTAATTAGTGTTTATAGTCTTCAATAAACCAAAAGATATCGTTGATATTATAGCTAAAGTTATTAAAGTTTTCCAATTTAGAATGTGTTTTTAACAATGATTCTATTCTTAAGGAAAACGATTTACTTTAAGAATGGAATCATTGTTGTTAAAAGGCTCGCTGGGCTCATTATCACAGTAACTTATATTTAAAAAAATTACGTGACACATTGTTCGAAAATAAAATTTGCACACTGTGTGCAGTTTGGCCCAACTTAAGAGACAAGACAGTTTTTATCCCGATAAGTGACCCCCAATATTTTTATTGCTAATTTAAGGATTTTTTATAGGACAAAGACTGGACCTGGCCAACTAGTTTTAATATATTTTATTTATGGTATATTCAAAATGATGTTGTTATGATAATTAAGTTACGAGTTTTATTTTTTATTTATTATAATTTTTAATATTGTATATAATAAAATATTCAAAATGTATTTTATTTTATCTTATTTATATTTACGAAATCACAGTCGAACCAGACTAATACTATATTAAGACTCCAATAATAATAGCAAGTCTTGTTTAGTATCTATGTAAATATAAAAAATCAAAACGTAATTTTTTTCAAAAGTTAGAATTTAATCTACATTATTTATATTATATGACTATCGATCCATTTATTTTATCACGTTTTCCCTATCACAAAAAAAAATCGGATAAAATATAGCTGACTCCCTGGTATTACTCTGTTCGTGAAGTTTCATAACAATCGCTTCAGCTATTTCGAAAATTTTCCCGGAAAGACAGGCAGACAGACCGACAAAAATTTTGCAAATGGTTATTCTTGTCTATACGATATCCAAACCCCCTAAGCACGAAAAAGGCAGTTATTTCGATGTTACAGACAGACATTTCAATTTTATTTCTTTGTATATGTTACGGTTAAAAGTCGAAGTGCGAGTACACCTAGGTTTAGCCGGCTACTACTAGGTGCAGCTTATTGCGGTTGGTTAAGCTTAGGTGTATCATATATAATTTATAAATTAGATAAATGTCTGCGGTTTCGGGGTAGCCCAAGGGTCACCCCAACCGCACCTTAACCTACTGTCGCTGATATTACTTGATACGTATATCCGTGTTTTTACAAATCTAACAGTACACCTAAATTTTATCAACTACTGCTGGTTGCACCTACTCGTAGTTCTAGCCGGCTAGAACAAAGTGTAACCGCACTTCGGCTTTTAGCCGTAACATATATATTACAAATGATTATTCATGTCTTAGTGACATGCAATAATTAACCCCCTAAGCTCGATAAACGGCAATTATTTCAATATTACAGTCAGACACTTCAATTTTATTTATTTGTATAGTTTAATCGCAAGAATAGAAGACGATGTATGTATGTTGTGTTACCATTTAACTTGTTAACGATGAAATATTTGCAGGTTAGTAATAGGTACCTAAAGATTGCAAGCTGCTTTGATAACGTGAAATAGGGTATTTATTTTAATGTTTTTTTATTTAGTTATATAATTATCTATTACTAAAACATTTCTTATTTCCTTCATTAGTTAAATTTATATTATAAATTAGGAAGAATAAAAATAATGACTAAGTAAACCTTACTAAGTAAATATTGTAAGAATATTGATAAAGTTAACTAATTAATTAATATGGTTTTTATATTATATTATTATTGTGTGCATACAAAACGGCAGCTGTGACCGGGATAGATCAGGCGTTGCCCCGTCGCCGACGCCTCGTCGACCCATATATTCCGCCTCGCATATCCCAAAATATCGAAACTATTTACACGCTTATTATATTTCATTTTTATCTCGCAAAATTAAATTTAATACATAACTGTTTCTAATTGCAATAAAGTTTGAATAATACAATAAAGCAGCGATTAAATAATAAAAACAAGAAATTAAATCCTTACCTTTTCTTCGTATGTTATTCAGTGTTCAGCGGTGTTCGACTTGCGAAATATTAATGTATGCACTTTTAATTTGGCACAAACAATGCATCATATGGATCCCAATAAATCACATAATAACTAGAGGTATAAAATTACGCAAATATCTAGATCTCGAAAGAAACACTCGCGAGGGTTAGGGCTCCGGTTCCGGAGCGGCAGCGCTCCGCACGCGAGTTCCACTGGCCGTTAGGTAGCCGCTAATCGTGCACCCTATCTGGACGAAATTGACAGTGCAAAGACGCGTGCGCCGCCAATCTCTATTTCTGTCCGCGGCCGCGTTGCCCTGATTTCACTAAAATTACGATCCGTTGCTATTTCCGCACTCACTCGTGCGCCCTCTTGCTGACGGTTAAGCGTCTCGCGAATAAGTTTCTAGTAGATATGAGTTTGGGCACATGTTTGCTTTCAACAAAACAATTAATTTAAAACGAATAAAGCTAGGCGATATTCTCCATTACCGATTCAATTTGTAACTTTATTTCCATTTGTAATTAGTTACAAATGAAGTTGTACTTATCTTTTTAGCATTAGTATTTACACCCTTCAGTTCAAAGGAGACTAAGATTAAAATTAGTTTAGAAGCAATTCATCTTGGGCCTCAAAGATGACTTCCTTCGATTAGCTGGTTAGTCAATTAAATGTTTTCAAAAAGATATGATTCTTTTAAGTAAAATAACCTTTCATTCCTAGACATAACTAAAAATAAGTATGACCAATCTGAGGTTGCATTTGTAACACCTAATCCAGTCGCTTAGATGTACTAACCTCGACCAACACGACATCGACGTCGTCAGATTCGCTCGCCCCTGCTTGGACGGCGGTAAGATAATTCATCTGTACACTGATTTATGTGTTTAGATAGGACGGAGATCTGACTTTCAGTCATGAAATGAGTCATAATCATCAGTCATTATTATCATCATGATCATCACCCCTTTTTATATAGCCCTAAGTCCAATGAAGCTGTAAAAGCCAACTGGCTTACGGCACTAACATATCAGAAAAAAGTATATATCTCTTGGGTGTGGTAAAAGGGAGCTGTGTGAAATGTCAGAAAAATTTCATAGCCTCCGATTAATTGCGGTAGTGTTCCTACCAGTGTCGGAAAGCAGCATCAAAGGTATGAGACGACAAAAGTCTGGTCATCTGAGATGACCAGTCCTTAATATCAGACCTTTGTACCAAAATAGTAAAAAAAATCTAGGTAACTCATCTGTGACAGTTTTTTACTAAGCTAACTTTGTTATATTCTGTGTCGATTCGTCTATGGTACGTTTAGGCGGCTTTAAGACGCTCATTAATGTTGTAGTGAAATTGGTGATAACAAATAAGTCACTGTTCACTGTTACAATTTTTATTCCTTTATAAGTCAGCTCCACAATCCACAATATACACAGATTACAGTTTACTGTTTATAATAATAATTGTTCAGAGGATTGAGAATAACACGTTAAAGAAAACACAAACTTAACCAAATACAAACACTTTCAAAGTTCACACTAACAGTACATTTACTACCACAATATAGTTTATAACAACACACAATATATAAACAGAAGAAAAATTGTATTACTTTTATAATAATTTAGATTTTAATACTAATTTAGCAACTAGATTTTATATAAGGAAAAACAACACGAATGAAGCACAGGGCAGTTGACAGTTCAAAACTATATTTTTAATTTTTGACATATATTATGTGGCTACTCCATAATGTCATACTATCTGTTAAGTGTGCCGATTACGATAAATCCCCTTCATGGGGGATTATCCCTCAGGAAAACTAGGCACGTGCCTAGGGGCGCAAGGTTAAAAAAGGCCGCGCGGGAGTTTTTAAACGGCTATTTGATTACTTCTACATCGTCCTCATTCTCTCATAACATTTTTCATTCACCTCCACTTGTTAAGGATACTCTAATAAACTATATTATAAATTACTAGCTTTTCGCCCCACGGTGTTACCAAAGTCCACGTTATGTCATGTCATCACCCACACCTATTATGAGATCACATAATACGGAGAGCTCAAACTATCGTATGGAAATTTGCTCATATTTCGGAATGATAAAGATCGCAGATTATAAGTTACAAAGAATTTTTGAATAGTGAAAACCACTCCAGCAATCTGCCTCTTCGTGCCTCTTTTTACTGGTATTAGAGCCACGCTGCAGCTATAGTATCTTTGTAGTACGAACCTATTTATGGACAGTTGTTTGCAAACTTTGAAAGTTGAAGAATGTGGGTTGAGAATGGGTGAGTTAACCGTCAAAGGCCTTTTGTACGCCGATGATCAAGTCATATCATATTTGCATCGTCGGCGGCCGAGATGCAAATTATGGTTACTTTAATGAACTGGTCATTGAAAGAAAGGGGTATGAAAGTGAACGCAAGTAAGACGAAAGTGATGGTTTTTGAAATAGAAGAAAGTAAAACGTTATGTGAAATAAGAATAGAAGGGGAGTTGATTGAGCAAGTAGATGAGTTTGTATATTTGGGATGTTTATTTAGCAGGGATGGTAGATATGATAAGGATATAGAACGACGAGTGAACGCAGGAAATAGAGTGAATGGGGCTCTACACGCTATTATAAGGAGTCAGAATGTGTCTAATAAGGCACGTATGGCAATTCATAATGCTGTGTTAGTCCCTACTTTAATGTATGGTAGTGAAAGTTGGGTCTGGCAGAAGAAGCATGAGAGTAGAATAAATGCTGTAGAAATGCGGTCCTTAAGGAGTATGCTAGAGCTGAATCTGAATGACAGGGTGAGAAATAGTGTGATAAGAGAAAAGTGTGGTTTGCAAGATGTCGTTGTAACAAGGGTTAAGAAAGGAATGCTTCGGTGGTTTGGTCATGTAGAAAGAATGAACGAGGAAAGAGTGACAAAGCAAATTTATGTTGCAGAAGTGAACGGCAGGGTCGGGAAGAGACGCCCTAAACGAAGGTTTATCGACCAAATCGGCAATACACTAAAATGGGCCAGATTAGGAGTAGATATATGGATGTAAAGGAGGCGAGAGCGGTGTGTCAGGATCGCGCCAAATGGAAGTCCGTAGTCTCTGCCTACCCCTCTGGGTGACAGGCGTGAGTGTTTGTGTTGTGTGTAGTACGAAAGGGTTGGCTCGACCGGGGAAGGACCATGCTCTCACAGAATACCAGCGTAAAATGGCAGCTTAATACTGCTGTGTTTCGTATGGTGAGTGTAGAGAAACGGAGACCCATTTTACTGGAAACAAGGCATTTCATCTTTTAGTTCTCGAACCTCGTTTTGAAACCGGATAGATTTCTAATAACGAAAAAATATTTTATTATTTTAATTAGTATATGCATCAATTTTATATTGAAAAAATACTTTAATCAATTTTTCCCCATACAAATTTGAACACATTGAAAAATCTTAAAATATACGTTTTTTTTTGTTTTATTTAGTACTTTCAGTAAGTCTCGAGTAAATCGCCCTATAAAATAAAGCTTCATATAAACTGTAACTTGGTATTACTCCCTCTTAGGGGTTGAACTTTCTAAAATTCTGTCCACAGAACACTAATACCCTTAGGCTTTTGATTCTGTCTCAGTGGAAGTATACGTCATTAAAGGCAGTTACTGTTCAAATTTCAAATTACTAAGTCTAGCTTTTGGTCTGCGCTGTCATACTCAAACTTTGCACTCTCGTTTTAAGACCCTAAGGGTAGATTTTTGAAGAAATTGAAAATGTGAATCTTATTATTTTTAACTTTAAAGTATATGCACCTATTTTCAAACAAAAAACAATAATATTTTTTTTTAAATAAAATAGAACAATAATATTTTTTTTTGAAAAATCGCTATATTTGAATTAATTTATTTTATTTACAGAGTACCTTTAGTAACGCCTCGCAAAACAAAAAGTTTCATACAAATTGTAACACCCTATTCAATTCACCCTTTGGCCGTAAATGAAAAGGGGAGATGTCCCGCCGGGCAAGATGTTCAGCCCGGGGAGTTGTTTCGGAGCTGTTCTATATATATTGTAGTAGAAGATAGAAGTCTCCCTTCCCTGCAAGCCCTAACGGTATAAAAACAGTGCAATCGACGCGATCGCTCTTCTTTTGCGTGGGGCCGTTATACATGTAAGATTGTTCCTAGCATTAGTTTTGTTAATTTTATTTTTGTGTGTGAATAAAAAAATTTGTGTTATAATTCTTTCCTCTTTATTTAAAAAAAATAATCTCGAATAAGTTTTACATAAGATCAGAAGTGAGATTAAAATACCTACGCGATTCCTTGTCGTTCGCCATTTTGATTCCTTAACTACGAGAATCTTTTGTAAAGAGGAAGGAATGTCGGGATGTGAACGTCGCCGCAGTTGACACAATGGTCGAGAGTGACGACGTAGTAAATACCGTGCTCATACTCCGGTTGATGATCTGAGTAAAGGGATAAGTACTGTGTTGGCGCGTTTAAGTGCTTTAGAGAACAGTTTGCTAGCTACCCACACTTCGCAACCTGCTCGCGATTCAACGCCGCCATTCCGGCGCCGGTCAACGTATCTTGTGGCTAGATGCGTGACATCATCACCCCGCAGCCAGTCTACGCCACCGCGTGAACACCGTATAATGCGTTCCGAAACACCGCCCTTTCAACACGGGCACCGATTGAACCGCATGTTAGTAGGGACGTGGAAAATGCGTCGGCACGTATCCTGAGTGAAGAAAATACGTCGTCTACGGTGGTAATCGGATAGTTGATGCAATTCGTTCTATCAACCCGGGAGCGAGTTCTAGTCAACACTACTACGTTTCGAACTTTGACCCTAGTATTCACAAGATTGAAGTTTGGTGCAAAGAGGTAGATCGCGCTAAAACTTTGAATAATTGGTCTAATTACGAGTGCCTCTCACGTATAGGTAATTGCTTAAAAGGTGACGCCAAAACATGGTTGAACGAGTGGGTAACGAGTGACCGTAGTTGGAGTAGTTTTAAAAAGGAGTTCGTTCCGTTGTGTCCGAAATCACCAGACATTGCAAATATTTTATACGAGATAATGAGTACAAATTCTGATAACTACCCTACATACGCTGACTATGCTCGTCGCTCGTTACTTCGTTTACGTATTGTACGGGGGCTCAGTGATAAGTTAGTGTCTGCAATTGTAATACGCGGGATTACTGATCCACAAATACGAGTAGCCGCCACCAATGCTTAGCTCTTACCTGACCTGATGAAGAGCTAGTCGAAT